AACGCCTATCTTAATTTCTCTCGCATTTCCTTTCATTTCTTCTGCAATTTTGAAAAGTCTGCTTTTGGATCTCAACAAATCTCGAAGATGAGAGAGTGCATTTCAATCCACATCGGTCAATCTGTTATCCAGGTTGGAAATGCTTGCTAGGAATTTTACTGCCTTGAGCATGGTATTTTCCCCAATAACAATATGCCTGGTGGAGGTGATGACTTATATTTTGTGTTGTTTCCAAGTGAACTAATTAGCAGAAAATTGAATGCCTTATTTAGTCCAGATTTGAATACATATATTACTACATAATTATTTAGGATCATATTACTTCATTCTTTTTTATAAATAGCAATACACGTATGTGTAATTTGATATACTTATCTTTGTATACCCTTATAATGTTGTGTTATTATGATCACTTACTTCTAGCTAGTTGCCATGAGCAAGCACAATTTAATTGGATACATCATATTTCTTTTTTCTAGAGCCTTCCTAGTTCACGTTCTCTCCCTAGATGCAGTAGTTTCTTTACATCCCCTACCCCTATGTGTCGCTGTGGGAGAGGTTTATATTTAGATTAACTTTTTTTTTTTGTGTTCAAAAGGAAACCTTCTACAAGAATGTTCATTATGTTTATAAACTGCAGAGTTTCAATTCTGGTGTTTTATAGTCCTAGTGTCTTGAATGTCAGTTTTATTACTCGTTTTACTCAATTGATCTAGTGTTTTATTATACAGTTTTCAATATGATACACTCGTGTTGTTATTTGTGGCAGTTTTCGAGATCAACGAGTGAATGAAGACAAAGAAGAAAAATTAATGGATTGTGTGTTGAAATCCATAAATGAAAGAAGAATGTGAAATTGTGAAGAAGCAAAATCAAATGATATAATACAAACTAGCTACATGTTATAATTTGAGATTTTTTTATCATATTATAAATTGAGTTAACAAGTTGAATTATATACTTGTGACACTTTTGAATGTTATTTTTGTTTCTTATTGTTGTATTATGTGTATTACTTTTTGTTGCATCATGTTTCTTTTTGTTGTAACATGTTGTTTTTTGTTGCATTGTGTTGTTTATCGTTGTATTGTGTTACTGATCGTTGTTTTTATTAATTTAGATTTTTGTTTTTTTGTTTTGGTTTCTATTAGCTTTGTGACTTCCTTAATATCAAAATGTCTATGAAGATGTAGAAACATACACCTAAAATGATGAATTTAGATATATGAAAGTAAACAACAACTTGAAACATAAAAAACACTAAAAAAACAAAAATTTCATAATTTTAAGTAAAATGAAACACATAGAAACCATAGACAACAACATTTTTATTTTTCAACTTTTTTTTTCTTTCAAGTTCATTACTTTAATTTTTCATATTTTTATTCATTGAGTTTTTTTATTCACTGAGTTTATTTTAATTTTAAAGTCTAGTTACATAAATTTTCTAATTTATTTATGTAATATAAAATTTAAATTAGCTTTTCAAATGATTTCAATTTTTTATATTTATTTGAATTTTTATTTTCTTTAATATGTATATTTTCCCATTTTATAAAATAATTACTTTTTCATAAAAGCTGATTATATTTCATATCATTTAATATTTTCATAATATTTTAATCTTATTTTACGTTTTTAATAATCTTAAGTTTATAGATTTTTAACTATTTTATACCGTTTTTATAAAACTTTTGATTTTTTATACTTTGTAAAATGAATTATATTATCTATTTTAAACACACATTAAAAATTATTTCTCAAGTTTTTTATTATTTTTTAGATTTCTATATGTTTTTATTTTTCTAACTTTTTTTGTGAAGTTTAGATTCATTTTATTTAATTTTTAATTCAATTTACAATTTTCCAATGTTGCATTTTTTTGGAATTATATTTTTTATTTTGAGTTGTTTTTTGTGTTTCTTTAAAACCATTTTTTGTAAAATTATTGTTTTCTAAGCATTATCAACTCTATGTGTTAATTAAAAAATTAAAAGTTGAGTGTTGCACATGGGATTCGCACTTTAATCGGAGTTTTTCCCAATATAATGCTAAATAAATAAAAAATTCTGAAATTAGGGTTGAGTTTATAATATTTTCCAAAATACTGTTGGGGCTGACTACGGTTAACAAAACTGCCACTTCAAGAGTTCAAGTGGCTATCAAACATATATAGCCAAAGAGAATAATTAATTCATGAGACCCACCTACAAAACAATCATCTCTATATTTTAAACTGATATAACTTTTTTGTCTGTACTCGGATCATTATAAAAAATATATCCAAATTTTTAATTTTTTATTATCTTCCATATGAAACCAATATTGAATATAAAAAAATAGCGATTTCAAAAAAACTTTTGTTTTTTAGAGTATTGTAACTTTTTTATTTGTATTCTGATTATTACAAAAAACATATCAAAATTCATAACTTTTTATTATCTTTCAGATGCAACCAGTATTGCATATATAAAAATGAAAAACCTTTGCCTTTCAAAATGTTGTAACTTTTTTTATTGTACTCTGATTGTCATAAAAAATATTAAAACTCAAAATACACATACAAAAATATAAAAAAAAAAAATTGAAGATACCATCACAAATTCTTTTTCCAAATTTAAAGTTTTGAGCTAAAAAAACCTCAGTTTGCCGCATCTTCAACTTTTTTTTATTTATATATGCAATATTGGTGTCATACGAAAGATACTACAAATTTCGAGTTTTAATATTTTTTGACAATCAGGAGACAAATAAAAAAGTTACAACATTTTGAAAGACAAAAGTTTTTTAGAGCCCGTTTAGTAGCATTGAAATTGGTTGAATCGGCTGATTCTGCTGAAATTTATGAAGTTCTGGTTGAAGTGACCGTACTGACTGATTCTGCTTATTTATGAAAAAATATAGTTAAAATATTTTTTATTAATTAAAATAAAGAAAAAATTATACTACGTATGAAAAAATGGCTAAAATAATCATCTACAGTAACTTCAGCAAATACAACCAAAAAGGTAACTCCAACCTTACATTTTCTTATTATTACACAATTCAGCGCGCGGAATCAAAAGTTACGCGTTTGGTGAAAAACAGTGCTACCAAACGTGCTCTTAAAGTTCCAGATATTTTTCTTCATTTTTGTATATGTAATACTGATGCCGTATGAAAGATAATAAAAAGTTATGAATTTTGATATGTTTTTTGTATTAATCGGAGTAAAAATAAAAAAAGTTACAACACTTTGAAAAACAAAAGTTTTTTTGAAATTGCTAAATTGTTTTTTATTTTTTATATATTCAATATTGGTGTCATATGAAAGATAATAAAAAGTTAAAAATTTTGATATATATTTTTATAATAATCCGAGTACAAACAAAAAAGTTATATCAGTTTAAAATATAGAGATGATTGTTTTTTAGATGGGTCCCATGAATTAATTATCCTCTTTGGCTATACATGCTTCTTAGTCGGCAATGCCATTCGCCCTTTCTCATAAGCCCCGGTTTTTTAAACCCTAGTCAACCACAACCAGTGCCGATCCTACATAAACTGCGGCCTGAGTCGAGCTTTCATAAAAGGGCCCTATACAAAGTATTTGTTTTGTAATACAACATATTTAGAAATAGAGGATTAATATCACAAAAACTCAATACTTTAAATAAAATTCTTACGTTATAACATTAAAAAATCACAATTTTGATTAATTTTGGATTGAAAATTACACAATTTTATCACGATAATCTTAATAAAAATAGATCTAAATTCTCAAATATAAAATATCAATTGCAAGGCATGAGCCTGCTTGAATAGTTTGTAAGACAAATAAGAATCAACTTGCTTTTAATTTTTAAATAGCATTTGTTTATGCATATACTTCAAATCCCAACCAATAATATAAGATTTAGTAAATAGTTATAGAAAATAGTTATAGAAAATAGAAGTTAATAAGTTAGTTCATTTGGGTATTTACAAATCAATAATTTATCAAATTAGCAAATCATACTAAAAGCTAGATTTTTTGAAATAATAACATATCGACAAATTTGGGACTTCATGTTTGTACTTCACTACTTCATTGATAACTCTATTGTCCCGCTTGTTTTTTAGTACATATAGGGGTTGTTTTGAACTGATTTTGATTCTGCTTCTTTTTTAAAGCAGAAGCAGAATAAGAATCAGAATCAATTTTCAGAAGCCGGTTCCCCCCAACTTCTAAAAAAATGATTCTATGAGTAAATTAGAGCATCAAAATCAGTTTTGCATTTTTATCCAAACACTCCAACTTCTGCTTCTGCTCTCTCAGAGAGCAGAAGCAGTTTTAAAATCAGATCCAAACATCCCCATATAATATAAATGTTTTTTAAATTTTTGGGCCCCTAATTTTTAAATTTTTTGGGGCCCTGAGGCCCAAGCCTCACTGGCCTAAGGGAAGGACCGGCCCTGACCACAACAGTATTTTGGGAAATATTATAAACTCAACCCAAATTTCGGAATTTTTTAATTATTTAGCATTATTTTTTGGCTTAGCTGGGTGAAAACTAAAGCATTAATTCAAACACTAGCTAGCTAAGTGAATGGGTGCGAGAATAAGACATTTGAGTCGGTGGGCTTCATACATGCGGACGCCGGACGGTCTATTTTTGAAAAGAAACCATAAAATAATCTATATCCGAAAGAAATTTTTAATGGTGACAAAAGTGATATTATTTTCACTTTTAAGTTTATTTGTGAAAAATTCCCTTAATAAAATACACAGATAGCATACATTTAACAGATCACAGATCAGATCAGACTATTAAATTTCATTCCAAAAGAAACATCCTATTAACATCTGAAATGACAAAAATTAGAATTGAAATCGACGTTGTAGACTAACGGCGTAATGCTAAGCTATACGGCGACGTATGCAAATTGCTCTGTTTCTTCGGCCGTATTCTCCAAGCAGCTCGCACCTTCCAGGGAAACTATTCATTTTTATTTTTTTCCTATAAAAGCAGCCTTTCACTCCTCAATTTCACCAAGAACTTCTTAATTAGCTTTCATTAAAATCTCCAAATCTGCCCTCATTGAATACCCTCCATAAATAGCAAAAACCAGAAAGACAGGTCTGATTTCTGAAGCTGTTAATAAAAGCAGAAATGGCGGTGGAGATGAATAACAGTCAGTTAGTGAGTAGCAGAGCTTATGTGACGTTCTTGGCCGGAAATGGCGACTACGTGAAAGGGGTGGTGGGGCTGGTCAAAGGGTTGAGAAGGGCCAACTCTGCTTACCCGCTCGTGGTGGCGGTTCTGCCGGACGTGCCGGACGAGCACCGCCGCGTGCTGGTGAACCAGGGCTGTATCGTCCGGGAAATTGAGCCGGTTTACCCGCCGGAGAACCAGACTCAGTACGCTATGGCTTACTACGTCATTAATTACTCCAAGCTCAGAATATGGGAGGTAATTAAGAATCGGACAACAAATAATACCCGGAATTCATGAAAATATTTTAATTGTCGAGTTTAATATTCACTCTATTCCAAATTGGCTTACAAAATTGATTTTTGTTAAATATATTAATTTTATTCATTTAATTAGAATATCAGTTTTTAATTAAATTTAAATTTAAAATTTTCAATTTATACAGATTTTAATATAGTTTTATTTTGTAATCTTTAATTATTAAAATTGAATTAATTATCAATAAGGAGGATTTAACTTTAATATTAGTTGGACAAGAAATAGTGAATTTGCAAAACAATTTGGGACGGAGAGTATTTGGAATGGAAGTAATATGGTACTTCGTCAAATACTCTTATTTTACAGAGTATTAGTTTTGTTTTCATTCAACAAAAATTTATATGGAGTAATACTCTTTAATTTGGAAGTCTTCTTTTTCCTTTCATTTTTCATTTTTGCGCTCTCCGTGAAGAAATGAAGAGAGTATCTCAATTTGATTTTCAAATAAAATTTTCGTACTCATTTTTAAATACATATATTTTCAAATAAAATTTTCATACCCATTAAAGACTTGTCTCTAATTTAGCAATGATATCGAATTAAGTTATTGTCACCTTGCCCTTGCGCCATCCACCCATTGTTGGCACCGGGCAATTCACAAGCGACTCTCGGGCGCCTTGGCTTGTGTGCACTCCTAATGGAGGGAGTGAACAAGTCTCAGTCCTTACGATCAATTTGCTTTCCTAATTCCTAGTACAAATAAATCTAATCTTATTACCTTTATAGTTTATATTACCATTAGCTTCCCATCATTGTGCATATCAACCATAGTTGATCTGTAAAAAAACTCAGCTTTCAAGCCTAAACTCGTCAAGTTTTGATTACATACTGCCTTTTTGTGATGAGATATCGTGTGGTATCGAGGTTTCTCGCTGCAATTGAATCTATTTTGTAATATGTGTATACATAATACATTACATGAATGCATTAATTTAATTTCGTATGTTTTCAAATATATTATATTTAAAATTTTCGTACTCATTTTTTAATACAAATATTTTCAAATTAAATTTTGGTACCCATTAAAGACTTGTCTCTAATTTAATAATGATATCAAATTAAGTTATTGCCATCGTTCCCTTGCGCCAACCACCCATTATTGGCACCGAGCAATTCACGAGCGAGTGAGCGACTCGCGAGCGACTCTCGAGCACCTTGGCTCGTGTGCACCCCTAATGGAGCTAGGGAGTGAATAAGTCTCAGTCCTTACTACTCCGTATTAATTTGCTTTCCTAGTTCCTAGTATAAATAAATCTAATCTTATTACCTTTATACTACGTAGTTTATATTGACCATTAGCTTTCCATCATTGTGCGTATCAACCACTAGTTGATCTATAAAAAACTCAGCTTTTCAAGCCTAAACTTGTTCTTTTTCACGCATAGGACGGCTTACTTTTTTCCCAGCATGATCGTCAAGTTTTGAGTACGTACTGCCTTTTTGTGATGAGATATCGGGTATGTTTGGCAAATGGCTTATCAGCCGGCTTTTAGCTTGTTTGACCCATTTCAGCTGTTTGATTGGTCAAAGAAGCTAATAATGATGTTTGGTAAATGGCTTTTAAAATTAGCTTGTTGAGTTTGAAAAGCTGAAAAAATGGATTGTTGAAGAAGCTAAGGGGAGCAGCTTCTTCATTCGGCTGGTTCAATTTACACTCTATCAGCCATTTCGAAACAACCAATTTTACCAAACAGTTATCTATAATCAGCTAACATAACCAGCCGGTCAAAAAAGCTAACACAACCAGCTGTTAGGAAACAGCTGACACAACCAGCTAATAACAACAGCTAACAGCCATTTGCCAAACATACCCATCGTGTGGTATCGGAGTTTCTTGTTGCCATTGAATCTATTTTTTTTAAAATCCGGTAGGCCCCATTGAATCTACTCTGTATTATGTAATATGTGCATTAATACATTATATGAATGCAATTAATTTAAGGGGAAAATAATTAAAATACCTCAAACTTTGATGGATGAGATAAGCACCTCAAACTTGCATATGTAATTTAAATACCCCAAACTTTGTATAAAAAATTATTTTAGCACCATGATCATGTATTAGTTCTTTAAAAATATTAAATCTTGGTGTTTATTTCATAATTTGATAATGTTTAACATTCTACAATTAACATTCTAAACTTCAATTGTAAAATAAATAGTATTACCCCCACTATATATAATTCTAATGTTTTCAATTTGTTATTTTAAATTATTCATTTAACACCATAAATTTTTATTTTGAAAGAAATAATACATGATCATGGTGTTAAAATAACTTTTTATATAAAGTTTGAGGTATTTAAATTATATATGAAAGTTTGGGGTGTTTAACTCCCACCCCTTCAAAGTTTGGGGTATTTAAATTATTTTTCCCTTAAATTAATACCGGTAACTATATTATGAGAAATTGTTGTATAAATATTATTTGTACATATAAAAAGACCGATTCATTGGCCCTGTCTTGTCGTGAATGAAACTGGACCATGATCAGTCAGGGCGGTTCGATTCTGAGTCTGGCCCGGAGGTACCGGCCCCGAATGTGCTTTCGAGGCTAGAACCGGCTGGCTCATTTTTCATTTCAAGCATTAGAAATTTGGAAGCACGTTAGAAGAGGTGTAACTGTGTAAGGATGTTTTTACTTGGACTGTAATTTATTGGTTTGGTCTGAATTGATCTGGTCTGGTTTCTTTGTATTTTTATCACTACCCAAGTCTGGTCTGGTCTGGGACAGATTACAGTCCAATTAAGTAAAAACATGCTAAGAGCATCTCCAATAGTACAATATGCACGGTGCACACGTGGCATGAGAGAGAGACACATAAATATTATGAAATAAATTCTTTCTCTCCTTATTTGAATGATTTTATACAGTTTTGATAAGTTTTTCTCCACAATGTCAAGGATACCGTCTATATGTTGACATTGTTGTTGACATTGCAGTGAAAAACTTACCAAAATTGTATAAAATCATTCAAATAAGGAGAGAAATAATTTACTACCTCCGTCCCGCTAAGATTGTCTCATTTTACCATTTTGGTCTGTCCCACTAAGATTGTCTCATACCTTATTTGGTAAATTTTGTGTGGCTCTAAATCATTCTTACTTTATCAATTCAATATCAATCACATAAACCACTTTTTATAAATTTGCATCATTGCGTGTCACTCCCTCTTGTCTCATTGTTAGTGGGACGGAGGGAGTATTTGCTAATATTTATGTGGCTATAACTCGTGCCACATGTGCACCGTGCACATTATGCATTTAACTTCTAAAATCAGCATTGTCGGGTTTATACATTTTTTGATAGTATTTGTAAAAATGTGATTAACTTTTGATTAAATAATTCAAATTTATTCTCCATAAAACCTATACGCTACTGTAGTCCCCCACCCTCTCCTCTGCCAAAATGATTTTTCCTTAAATACTCTTTTAATTTCTTTATTCTTTCCCTATTACTGGGCTTAGGATCAGTATTCCAACAAATACTAAAATACTAACATGTTTTTACTTACATTCCTTTCGATCCCAAATCAAACTAGATCTGTTCAGATTGAACTAACCAAATTAAATCAGACCAGATGTTTCATTCTAACTAAAAACGTTCTTATCTTTTACGGAGTATTATTCACATGTAAACTTCAAATACTCACTAATGCATTTACTACAATGAAAAAATAGGTAGTATAAATTATCTAGCCAAAATGCCAAATCAAGACATGAAATGGCATTCCTCTTACATTTGAGACTCTCTTGAAATATTTAAGATGTTCACCCTAAGTATGATTTAACCCACTCTAAATAATGTATCCAATGGAGCCAAAGTGGATATAGATAGCAGTATAGCACCCCTAGTGTGAGAAACCACAATAAATTATATTGTACACCTGATTATATGGTGCCTATTGTACATCCGAGTGTTGTAAGTTAAAACAAATGAGTATAACATTTAAACAAAATGAGTATTGGTATTGACTTGTAAAGTTAATTAGCTCAATAAATATTTACATCATATATGATATACCATCCTCCGTTCTTTAATTCTTGCAACAGTTTGACTTTCGCGTTTGCCAACGCACAACTTTGACTGGAATTATATTTAATTATGTATTAGTAAACATTATAAAAAGTTGATATTTTGGAAATTCACATTGATAGGAATTCAATAACATTTTATACGTAATAATTTGATTATGTATATTAGTATAAAATCGTGGTCAAAGTAAGATATGTGAATAGTGCATAAATCACAATGTTGCAAGAATTAAAGAACGGGAGAAGTATAATGATAATATTGTTTATGAATGAGTTGATTTGTAGTACATATATGAAGTGTAGATCATGACACTCAATTGATGCTTCTAATACTCAATTATGCTACCAATATAGTGATTTAAATGTTATACTCATTAAGCATAACAAAAAATATTCTGTTGTACAATGAGCATTGTACAACCGGGTGTACAGTGTACTCTCTAAAAAACCACAACCCTTATTCACTGAGGAAGCCAATATGAAAGTCATCAAAAGTAAGAGAAAGTGGCAGTTGGCAAGTGGGACCCAAATAAAGAAGAATCTCATTTTTCTTATAATTTTTTTATTTGTACTTCATTTTTACAAAAAAAAATACATAGTATATGAGTTTCAAAATTTATAATTGTTCATGATCTTTCAAATGACACTAATATTGCATACATAAAGTTTTAAAAAAATTGAAATTTCAACTGTTGAGGTTTTTAGACCCAATCTTTTTCTGTGATAGATTCGGGTGCTAAATTTAAGACATCATGGTTAAATTTTTTAACATCTATCAGCTATTCTTTTTTCATAAAGAGATATGAAGTGACAATAAAAATTTTAACTCCAAATTTATTTATTTTTATTTTAGAATGTTTGACTTTTAAAATCAACATCATGCAAAATAATTTGGCAAAAAAAAT